TTTTTCCTGTAAACCAAGTCCACAGGTGTCAGTGGCCAAACTCAACCCATCTCTTTATTGCTGCATTTCTCCCACTTCCACTCAACAAGTAGATCCAGGTGGTCACCTAGCAAGCATTTCAGCCTGCTCACAGGCTCCCTTTAACATACGGTTTTCCTCCATTAAAATTATACCATGAGTATTTCCTTGAATGTATACATGATCTCTCCGAATAAAATTTAGAATATTCACATAATTTCTTCACTTTAAAAGTTAAATATGTTTAAGAAGGAATTTGAAGGGAAAATAAATACTGATTGAAACAAGGTGGCGAGCTCATGGCTCAGAGCTTTCAGCTGGTGGAATGAGCAAAATTCACCATAAGAAGCGGATTTTTAAAAATCATTTTATTGGGGGCTCATACAACTCATCACAATCCATACATACATCAATTGTGTAAAGCACATTTGGATATTCATTGCCCTCATAATTCTCAAAATATTTGCTCTTCACTTAAGCCCTTGGTTTCAGCTCCTCATTCCCCCCTCCCTCCCCACTCCCCCTTCCTCATGAACCCTTGATAATATATAAATTATTATTATTTTGTCATGTCATACACTGTCTGAAATCTCCCTTCACCCACTTTTCTATTGTCCATCCCCCCAGGGAGGAGATTATATGTAGATCCTTATAAGCGGTTCCCCCTTTCTACCTCACCTTCCCTCCACCTTCTGGTATCGCTTCTCTCACCACTGGTCCTGAAAGGATCATCTGTCCTGGATTCCCTGTTTCCAGTTTCTATCTGTAGCAGTGTACATCCTCTGGTCTAGCCAGATTTGTAAGGTAGAATTGGGATCATGATAGTGGGAGGGAAGAAGCATTTAAGGATTAGAGGAAAGTTTTATGTTTCATTGTTGCTACACTGCACACTGACTGGTTCGGCTCCTCCCCAAGACCCTTCTGTAAGGGGGTGTACCGTTACTTACAGATAGGCTTTGGGTCTCCACTCTGCACTCCCCCTCATTTACAATGATAAGATAAGAAGCAGATTTTAAAAGCAGCTTTACATTCAAACATCGTTTTTCGTTCTATCTGACAAGTACCTTGGTTCTTCCTGGTGCCAGCAGTAGTCCAATGGTTGATATCAAACAGAACTCTCCTGAAGCATTCATTTCAATCCCAAATAGATTTGTGTATTGTGCTGGTCATAAATCTACACATTCTCCCAGCTAACTTTAATGGTGAGGCAGAGCTTGCTTTGACATCTGAGGTAGGGCAATAGATGCTACCATCCTTCTGTGGGTCCTCTGTATGGCTACATAAGACAACTCCCTGGACCAGGTCTTTTGTAGAATGATGAAGGAACACAGGACCAAGTGCTGAAAGCCAAGTTAGAAGGAAAAGATGAATACCTTAAACTAGGGTAAAAAAAAATCCCTCAAAAACTAGAGTTCATTATTGTACAACTTGCAATGTTCTTTCCCACTGTGCTGGCTTAGGTAGCACATAGACTAAAATTGGGACAATACAGAGCAGATTGGCATGGCCACTGCATAAGGATGACATGCAATTTTGTTAAGCTTTACACACACACACATATATATAAATTATTTACTACTATGCACCCTTGGTTTCCTCAGGAATGATATCACAGATGTTGTAGGAAACAATCTTTCAAAAGACAAGGAATTTTCCAGTTCTCACTGGAAATCAAAGGGAAACATAATCCTTTGCCTCATTTGCCTTGAGAAAAAGTAATCTGACCCACTCAATGGCAGTGTGTGGCAGTTATGTAATCTCCTGTCAACTTGAGCAAAGGGGTGGAGTCTAGCCTGTCAATCATGTCATAGCCAATGAGGCCTCTGTGTGGGCATGGCCTTCTCCTGAGGATTCTGAGAACTCCTGTCTTTCTCCCTGAAGGCAGCGCTCTCTCTGTCTCTCTCTCTTTCGTTTACATTCCTGTTGACAAGCCCCATGGAGCTATGCTGATGGCAGCCAGGGCCCTGGAGCTGGAGGAGTCATGTGTAGACCCACATCAGCGATGAGATGCTTCCACCGCCACTGGATCCACAATACTCTCCACTCACTGTCCTGGGATCTTCCTGCATCCGGCATCATTGCATGTGTTGCATGAGTCTGAAGAGGAATTTATAGACTGGTATTGGACATAGGGACTAATATCAGACTTATGGACTTGATCTGGACTGGGCTGGAATGTTTTCATAATATACAATTACTCTTTGATATAATATTAATACTAAGTTATCTGTTCATCTAAAAAGGAATAATAAAAAGAAACATGCCCTCCAAAAATTCATATGATGAGATAAAAAGACAGTATTGAGGTGTAAAATGGCTGCTATGGTAGGAAAGTAAGCATTACTACATAAACTGTATGTATAAGCTTATTTTCTCTCCAAAACATCCCACCAGAGGAAAATCATCACAATTTTTTCAGATAAGAAAACAAATTTAGTGAGGCCACTGCTCATTTACTGCCATCGAGTTTATTCCAACTCAGTGACCCAATGGGACAGAATAGAACTTCCCCATCGGGTTTCCAAGAGACAGCCTCATTTTTCTCCCGCAGAGCTATTAATGGGTTTGAACCAGCCAGCATGTGGTTAGCAGCTCAATACAAAGTCAACTACACTGCCAGGCCTCCTTGGTGAGGTCACACAACTAATAACAGAGACTTCAAACTTCTTTTTTTTCACCAAAACTTCTTGATACTGAGTTAGGGGACCTGCATCCCAGTCCAGCTCTCTTTGTTAAGTAGTTGTGTGACTTGGGTAAATTATTTCACTTCTCTGGACTTCATTTTATTTTCTATAAAGTGACTGGATAAGTGAGATTTCTCCCCAAATTCTTTCCGGTTCTAAAATTCCATAGTTTTAATATCATTATGAACGTCTTGGGAGAAGGACAGCCAGAGTGCTCCTTAGAGGCAAGGATGGCAAGACTTCATCTGGCAGACTATGGACATGTCATCTGGAGAGACAAGTCCGTGGTGAAGGACATCATGCTTGTACAGTGGAGGGGCAGCGAGCAAGAAGAAGGCCCTCAAGGAGATGGACTGTCCTCATGGCTTCGACAACGGGCTCAAGCAGAGGAACAATTGGGTGGATGGGACAGGACCAGGCAGGGTGTTCTTCTGTGGTGCATAACGTTGGTTATGGCCCATAGCAACTTTATGAAACCTAACAAGAACAACAACATGAATATAAATAATCCTTGGTCTGACCACATGAGCTTTTTGAATCTATCTAAAAGTAACTTAAAATCTAAAACTAAATGTTCTACTTTGAAGGTCTTTAAGAGGTGGTATTTATTTCACAACAATTCAAGACTATTGAGGAATCAGCCTTGATGGTGATTTTTAACATATTTTAATATACCACAATATGAATTCTTAGTTTTCTTGTCTTTGAATCAAATAACCAACTTCCTTATTCAAGCATCAGAAATTATTTTTATTTTTAGAACTTCCCTCTGATATACTCGTGAGTCCTCTTGGACCTTTACGATTGCTCTGAACTGGACAGTTCCCAGGAGCAAGTAATTGAATTTTTAAAAAATCATTTTATTGGGGGCTCATACAACTCTTATCACAATCCATACATCCATCCAGTGTGTCAAGCACATTTTTATATTTGTTGCCATCATCATTCTCAAAACATTTTCTTTCTACTGGAACCCTTGGTATCAGCTCCTTGTTCCCCCCATGAACCCATGATAATTTATAAATTATTATTATTTTGTCATGTCTTACACTATCCAATGTCTCCTTTCCCCCATTTTTCTGTTGTCCATCCCCCAGGGAAGGGGTTATATGTAGATCATTGTGATCCATTCCCCCTTTCTACCCCACCTTCCCCTGACCTTCCTGGTATTGCTACTCTAATTACTGGTCCTGAGGGGTTTATCTGTCCTGGATTCCCTGTGTTTCCAGCTCTTACATGTACCAGTGTACATCTTGTCTAGCCGGATTTGTAAGGTAGAATTGGGATCATGATAGTGGTGGGGAGGAAACTTTAAAGAACTAGAGGAAAGTTGTATGTTTCATTGGTGCTATGCTGCCCTCTGACTGGCTCGTCTCCTCCCCGGGACCCTTCTGTAAGGGGATGTCCAGTTGCCTACAGATGGGCTTTGGGTTTCTACTCCACACTCCCCCTCATTCACAATTGTATGATTTGTTCTCTGATGCCTGATACTTGATCCTATGGACAGCTTGTAATCACACAGGCCGGTGGACTTTGTTGCTTCTCAGCTAGTTGGCTGCTTGTTTATCTTCAAGCCTTTAAGGCCCCAGACACTATATCTTTTCATTAGCTGGGCACCATCAGCTATCTTCACCACATTTGCTTATTCACCCACTTTGTCTTCAGCGATGGTGTCAGGAAGGTGAGCATCATGGAATGCCAGTTTAATAGAACAAAGTGTTCTTGCATTGAGGGAGAACTTGAGTAGAGACCAAATGTCCATCTACTACCTTAATACTAAACCTATCAATATATGCGCATATATCTATTTCCCCATCGTCATATATTGATATATTTACATATGTACATGCCTCTTTTTAGACCTCTATAAATGCCCTTTGCCTCCTAGTTCTTTCCTCTATTTCCTTTTACTTTCCTCTTGTCCCATTATCATGTTCAGTCTTCATTTGGGTTTCAGTAATTCCTCTCGGTTACATTGCCCTTGATCAAGCTCTACCAGGCCTCCTATACCTTCCTGGGCACCAATTTTGGAACACTTGTTGTTCCCTTGTTCCTGGGTTTGTTAACACCCACTTCCTTTCCTGCCCCTCCCCTATATCTCCCCCGGAACCATTGGTCCTGTTGTTTTCTCCTCCAGATTGTTTATCCCACCTATCTTATCTAGATAGACCTGCAGAGATAATAATATGCACGAAAAACAAGACAGAGCAAAACAAACAAACAAAAGAAAAACAACAACAACAAAACCAAGGACACCACCCACCCACCCAAAAGCCTGTAAATAGTTCAAGGTCTATTTGTTGACCTTTAGGAATATATTCCCGTTGAGTCTGATGGGGTGCCACACCCTGACCCCAAAGTCTTTTTTTGGTATTCCCTGGGGACTTCGCTGCTCTGTTCCCCTTGCTGTTCTGTTGCACACCCTTAGTGTTTCGCCTCAGTGTGTTGGGGTTAGATCGGGTGCAATTTCCACGCTGTGTCTCCAGCGTTGTCCCCCCATAGCTCTATGGGTCAGTGAGGGACATCGTGTCTTGTAGTGGGGTCGGCCTTATGGTGCTCTCTGCTTTGGCTGCTCTGAGAGGGAATATAGTCCTCAGGGCTTGGTGGGCCAGGATGTGCTCCACTCTCCCTCCCCCTTTGTTTGCTCCTGTGTGCTCTGATCAGACATGTCCCTCTCCCAGAGCTGTAGCTTCAGTGCTGTCCTCTGAAGTGAATTCTTCTGGGTTGAGGGAGGGCTGTCCATATATTTGGGATTTGGGCCGGCCCTGCAGACCTCTCCAAGTCACTGATTATCCTTCTCATTTTGATTTTATAAACATTGTCTTTCTGGACATCCCCCTGCTTCTCTAAGATCCTGTTAAAAATGCAAATTCTGTTTTAATATGTCTGGGATTCAACTTTTGATTTTGCCTTTCTAACAATCTTGCGGGTGAAGTTGATGTTGTTCGCTCTAACATGTTGGCCGTACATGTTGGGCTCCTAACCACAAGGTCAGAGGTTCAAACTTACTAGCTGCTCCAATAAAGATAGATAAGGCTTTCTGCTACTGTGAAGATTTACAGTCTTGCTATGTTAGTCTGGGCTGACTAGAGAAACAAATCCAGGGAGACTCATGTGTATAAGAAAGAGTTTTATATGAAAGAGCAATTGTATATTGAGAAAACATCCCAGCCCAGTCCACATCAAGTCCATAAGTCCGATATTAGCCCATAGGTCGGATACCAGTCTATAAATTCTTATTCAGACTCATTCAACACATGCAATGATGCTGAGTGAAGGAAGAGCACTGGCCAGTGGGAGGAAAGTCTTGTGGATACAGTGGCAGTGGAAGCATCTCATCACTGGTGTGGGTCTACACGTGGCTCATCCAGCTCCAAGGCTCTGGCTCCATCAGCTCCATATGGCTTGTTAACAGGAATGTGAAGCAAAGAAAGTGTGTGTGTCCTGCCTCCAGGGAGGAAAACAGAAGTTCCCAGAATCCTCAGGAGAAGACCATGCCCACACAGAGGCCTCATTGGCAGTGACTTGATTGACAGGCTAGACTCCACCCCTTTGCTCAAGTTGACAGTAGATTATGTAACTGCCACACCCGGAAACCCACAGGGGCAGTTTTGCTCTGTCCGATTGGGTCTCTGTGAGTTAGAATGGACTCAATGGCAGTGAAAGAGCTCAGTCACTAACTTTGTATTAGGGTACATATAAGGCTTGCTTTCCTACTCATGCTTTATATATGTATGATAGCAAACATTCGTCTAGTAGCTCAAGTCCGCCTTTAGAGGTCTTTTGTAGAGCCCTATGTCATAGCAGTTATGCGTTGGGACTGCTAACTACCAGGTCAGCAGTTTGAAACCACCAGTTGCTCTGAGGGGGAAGCTGGGTCTTTTTAATCGCATACAGAGTTGCAGAACTCAGAAACTCACAGGGCCCGTTCTACTCTGTCCTACAGGGAACTATGAGTCAGCAATGGCTCCATGGCAGAGACTGTGCTTTGGTTGTGCATGTTTTGAGTACATTCCACTTCTTACATGTTTCATGCTATCTCTGATCTGACAGTGTAGTTGTTTACTTTTACAATATTTAAATGATTCACTTCTTGGTTGAAATGAGCTCCCAGGGAGAGTTAGAAAAGCTTTTCCATTACAGTCGCAGAAATCTGTCACAAGGCAACTGCAGGCAGGCACAGGCACTTGATTGGGTTCCGCTGGTAGAAGGAGGGGATTGGAGTTCACAGTACTTTGCCTGGTGGGCATGCTTTTCTTCTTCTCCCCAGAAAACTGGAGGAAACAGCCCTTAGATAGAGACCACAATCTCCAGATGAGATTGCTGAGAGGGAATAAACCAGTACACTTCGCGTTTAGTGGCTGGAGCAAGCCCCTTTTCCTAATATAGCGTGTACTTTTGTGCATCCAGTTGAGTATCTTTTTTTAAATGGACCGTGTGAAAGTTCTGTCACAGACATACTTTTCCACGTGCTCTATAAGAACGTTGCGGAAAAGCACGTCTTGGGCCAAAAGCTCAATCTGCCCTGTTTTGTCTATGCTGGTGCAAACCAGTGCCTGCATGCTGAAGGTTCTTATGGAAACAAAATATCGATGTGGGTGTTTCCTAGCACAGAGACCCTAGAAAGCCCACGGCTCCTGGAAGATGTTATTCATCAAGCACTTAGTTTGCCTTTTATATGGAAATGATAAGTCTTCAGTCATGTATAAATAAACAACTGGTAAAAAATATTTACAGTGAAACTAAACACCAGTTGCCACATAGTATTTTACTGGTATCGTCCCTTCTAAATGAAAAACTTGCTCACTCACATTCTTTCTACCATTCGACAGTTTGACTCTGGATTTTGTTACATACCAAAACCACCACTTTGTTCTCACCCTGCCCAAGAAGTATTTTCTTATCCTTAGTTCAACAGGAAATAATCTTACTTGAAGGGTCTGTTGACAACTTAGCTGCTTCCTGGCCCATGTAAATCTAGAAAACTATCTTATTGTATAATTTTTTATGTTAAAAATGCTTCATTCAGAATATGTATTCTTGCGGCCTATTATGTACAATAAAAAGCCAATATTCTATGCACTGTTCGTAACCTGTTATCAGATTTACTGCTGACGGGTTCCATTCCAGTGCTACAGAAATTCCCAGAATAATATAAGACTGACAAAATGTGTCTGTCTGATTTTATATTTGGGAGACAAGGGGAAAAAAATTTTATAAAAAAAAAAAAGCTGATATTCTATAGAAAAATAAGAAATGGAGTAACATGTTTTACCGCTCAAAGAAATTTGCCTTAAAAATTGTTATAGTTTAACTTAAGAGGTAGGACATATACATATGTAATACATTATACTTCATAAAGTATCTTGGTAATTGGCATAAACATATGAGGGGTACCAAAAATTAAAAACGGAAATTTTTGTCAAAGCTATGTATTCACATTTTTATACAAAACAACCTTATCACCTTCAAAGTACTCTCCATTGCACTTAATACATTTGTCAAATCTGCAATTCCATTCTTGGAAACATTTTTCAAACTCATCTGTTTGGATCGCTGACAGCACCTCCCTCGTTTTTTCTTCACCTCTTCTACTTCGTCAAATCATTGTCCTTTCATGTCCCTCTGCATTCTCAGAAACAAAAAGAAGTCTTGTGGAGTGAGGTCAGATGAGTAAGTTGTGTGGGACCAGAGAGGCTTGTGTTTTAGGCATTCTGTTTTTTACTGAAAATTGGCACACTGAGATGGTTGTGTGAGCAGGTACATTGTCATGGTGGCAAAACCAGTGCCTGTCTGCCACAAATCAGGCCTTTTGTCACATACTGTTACGCAATTTTTCAGAACCTCTCAGTAGAGAGCTTGACTAGCAGTCTGCCTTGATGGAACGAACTCCAAATGCACGCGTGGACATTTTTGTTAGGGTCAGGACGTTGACGGACCTCCAGAATGAGGTTTGTCATCAATTGACATTTCGCCTTTTTTGAAATGAGAAGCTGTGCTCAATATCACAACAGTTTGTGGAGCATTTTTCCCGGGCAGGAAACAAAATTTCACAGCCACACGCTGTTATGTTAAATTGGCCATCACAAAAAAAGAAATGAGGTTCAAGTTACCATACATACTCGTGTATAAGCCGAGTTTTCAGCACATTTTTTTATGGTATCAAATCAGTACTTTTATTCTACTTCCTATAAATTGACACAACAAGAAAAAAATTTTTTCAATTCAATTGTCATGAGTTAAACTGTGAACCTAATTTGCCACACCTTCTGGACCTTGCAGGCTAGGTGCCACCTAGTTGCTTCTGACTCAGCAACCCCATGTACCACAGAACACAACACCGTGTGGTCCTGGGACATCTTCACACTTGTTCTCCTGCTTGAGCCCATTGTTGCCACTGCCGCGCCCGATCCATCATGTCCAGGGCCTTCCTCTTTTCCGCTGCCCCTCCACATCACCAAGCATGATGACCACCCTCGAGGACTGGTCTCTCTTGATAACAAGTCCAAAGTACTGGAGACAAAGCCTCACCATGTTTGCCTCTAAGGAACATTCTGGCCGTACTTTTTCCACGATTGATCGCTTTGTACTTTTGGCAATCTATGGTAGTTTCGATATTCTTTGCCAACACCATAGTTCAAATACATCTATTTTTCCACAGCACATTTTTGATGCAGTTTTTGTAGTAAAACTAGGTGCCTCAGCTGATAACTGGGTCGGCTTATACTCGAGTATACACGGTAAACTGTTTTTAGAAAATTCACTGTAACCAGAGAGAACCTTCCCAGGTGGCGCCACTGGGTGCACTAACTCAGAGAGTTACTCAGTTCTTGCCTACCAGGGAAAATGCTACTAAGAAAGCTCTGCCCAAGGGAGCTTTTTTTTCGTTTGTTTGTTTTTGGGGGGGAGGGGTACCCCTTCATATAGTAATAGGTCAGGAAAGAGAGATGAATGCATCACATTGTATTTTATATTAGTTCTTTAATTCATTGTGGTAAGAGAGAAGCTTTAGGGAAGAGGTAAACTTGACCCGCACCTTAAAGAATGGGAAAGAAGATAACAATTAAAGATAGGTTTCCAGATGAGATGGACATGGACCAAGGTGAGAGTGAATGCTATATATGAGGTAGTGGTACGGTTACAGGCCTAATGAAGCCATGAGGTGAGACTAGTGGGTCAGTGAGATACAAAACTTTAAAAATGGGATCCGACCAATGTATGGACATATTTCAAAGACAATAAGACGGGTTTATGATTCCTCTCTGCCACCTCTCAACCCCTGGCCGTAGCTCTTAGGAAGTTGAGGTGTGTGATGTGAAGATAATGGGCTCTGATAAAAATTAAAGGTCATGTACAGCTTGCGGGGAAAGGAGATAGGCTGACACTGGGAAATCTTGTACTAAGCCAGGTAAGAAGTGATTAAATGCCTGGATGAAAGTGATGTCAGAGGGCATGGGAGGTGATAAAAGGACAGATGCTTTGAATTTGAAAATCAGGGAAAAGGAAACAGCACAAAACTTTGAGACCATAAACAGGGCACCGTCTGTGGATTACATCATTGATGTGATCTCTCAGAGAGCTCTGTGGCCTGGAGTTTTAAAGAAAATTCTGGAAGTCTTAGCACTTATCCCTATATATTTTCATCTGTCCAGTAGATAGTTATTGAGCATCTATTATGTAGCAAACATTGCTCAAGAAATCACAGCAATGAACTGGGGACATAGCAATGAAAAATCAGACAAAAATAGCTATTTTCATGGAGCTTACATTCTAGTGGAGGAAATTCCATCATAAGCTGAGAAACCAGCCAGAAAATGTAATAATAATCATACAGATGGCAATGAGCACTGAGGATTAAATAAAGCCGGGGGGGGGGGGGGGGAGTTAGGGATTAGCAGATGGTGCCAGAGGGATGATTTTAAATAGGTTGAAAATTAAAGGGCTCCCTGGGAAGCTGGCATTTGAGCAAAACCCTAGTGGAGGTGAACAAGCTGGTCTTCGTGGCAATAAGTGTGGAGAGAGCAATCGAGGCACAAGGAATAGCTAGTGCCCAGTGAGATCTGGAGGCAGGAGCGTTCCTGGTGACGGCAAAAGCAGGAATAGGTTTTAGAGGCAATTGTTAAGTACCCTGTTCCAGTACTTTGGCATGAACTGAGCTGGGAAGTCTTAGAGAGTTTTAAATTTTATCTTATTTAAGTGTACCACTTTGTATAAAGATATAGGGTGGTGAAAAGGGGGGGGTATAAGGTGCTATAGAAATGTTAAAAGAAGAAGAAAAACTACTGATTTGTCTTAGTTATTAGCACCATGCTCTTACTTTTATTCTATTTCCAGCTGGAACAATTGCCTTTCTGTTACTCGTAATGGAAAAGTCTTATTTTATCATCCATTGGTCTTGTGTTAATATTATCTGGAATTTAGCTTTGACTATGGCACATAAAAACAACATGTATTTTCAAATAAATTGCTATCTTTTAAATACCTCTCCATCCAAATAGTAACAAACTATTTCCTGTTTCCAGACTAGACAAGTTGTCTTCCAAATGTTTTTTGCACAAGTACCCCAAAGTAACTTTGAAAACAAGGTGCTCACTTGGACCTTTTCAGATTGATATTTAGAAATTATCCTATGTCTAAATATTTGCTAAGGTTGTGATTTCTGACGTTTGGTAAAAAATGATTTTTTTCCATAGACCTTTCCACAATTATTGATAACTATTTAGTGATAGTAAACTATAGCAATTTGAAACCCACCACCACCCATATCAAAATATATGAGCAAGTTTTTCTTCACAAGTGGGGTTTTTCTCTTACTCCTTGTGTGAGGTTGGATTGTCTAGAACAGCGGTTCTCAACCTGTAGGGCACGACCCCTTTGGGGGGGGTCGAACGACCCTATGTTAGTCTGGGTGGACTAGAGAAACAAATTCATAGACACACATATGTGTATAAGGAAGAGGTTTATACACAAGAGCAATGTACATTAAGAAAACATCTCAACCCAGTCCAGTCCAAGGCCGTAAGTCTGATATTAGCCCAAATGTCTGATACCAATCCATAAAGTCCTCTTCAGACTCACGAAGCACATGCAGTGACGCCAAATGCAGGACGATCACAAGCCAGTGGGTAGAAAGTCTTTGGATCCAGTGGCATTGTGAGCATCTCAGTGCTGGCAGAGGTCTCTCTGTGGCTTCTCCGGCTTCCGAGGTCTGTTTGCATCCATGTGGCTTGTCTTCTGCAATGTCTCCCAGGGTGTGAGAGAGAGAGAGAGAGAAGTGTCTCCCACCTCCAAGGAAGAAGTACCGGAGTTCCCAGAACTCTCAGGAGAAGGCCATGCCCACATAGAGGCTCCATTGGCTATGATCTGATTGACAAGCTAGACTCCACCCCTACACTCTTAATCATCAAATTAACAAATGATTACATATCTACCACAGACCCTTTCACAGGGGTTGCCCGATTCATAACAGTAGCAAAATGACAGTTATGAAGTAGCAATGAAAATAATGTTATGGTTGAGGGGTCACCACCACATTAGGAACTGTATGAAAGGGTCACCGCATGAGGAAGGTTGAGAACCACTGCTCTAGAGAGACAAACCCAGTGAGAGTCACATATACACAAGAGCTTCATATCAAGAAGAAACTTTATGTCCGGAAGGCATCTTGACCCAGTTCAACTCAAGACCATGGGTCTAATGCTAGTTCTTACGTCCCTCTTCAGACGCAGTCTGCTGGGTGCTGGGTGCAGGGTGGTGTGGCCCCAAGGCTGGTGGGAACGTGGCAGAGCATCAACAGTTTCCAGGTTGGCAGCCCACGCGTAGCTGTCCCTGGAGGCAGACGCACAGAATCTAAGCAAGCAAGAGGCCAAAGGGCAAGAGAGGGAGAGAGGTGCCCAGTGTCTGCGAGAGTCCACACCCCCAAGGAGGCATTACAGGCTACCACCTGACTGATGATTGGACTCCAGCCCTACCTCCACAGAAGTACCAATAAGTTTCCATAAAATCTAACCACCACGCGAATTTTTCTTCTTCAGCTCCTATGAGGGAGTGTCAAAAAGTTCATAGAAAATGGAATTGGTCATTGATGGATGTATGGATTGTGATGTGAGTTGTATGAGCCCCTAGTAAGATGATTTAAAAATAAAAAATAAAGATTTTTAAAAAAGAAAAAGAAAAATGGAATTGATGCACATCTACTAGACC